TATATATATATTATATTTTATATATATAATTTAGTTTTCTAAATTGTATCTTACGTTTTACATTTATGTAACGTATAACTTTGATGAATATAAAATGAATAATTACGTATATAAAATATATTTTCAAATTTTATTTAATTTAATTCATGTTTTCTGAAATATTCTAACATATATTTGTAATATATTATAAATTTTAAAAGAGAAGAGAAGTCTCTGATTTATTACAAAAGTATGTGCAGTACGGACTTACATATGTATGTATATATACATCCCATAATTGTGGACGTTCTGTCATTCGATGCTTAAGTAGCGCTTGAAAAGTAGCTCTTTTATAAATATTCTAGTAGTTCCATTTCGTATAATTTATGCTTATTGTAATTGAATTTTTTCTGTTTCGAATATTTTATTATTTTCTATTTAGTAACAGTTAACAATTTTTGGATGATATCGTAACCTATACTTGCATTTCTTCAACATTAATTTTAGGATTTACTTTTTAGCACTTAAAATTGTTATGATTTAATTATTTTAATACAGTTAATTCCTTTTTATTGCAGATATTTTGTTCGCGTTAGTTTACAAATTTCGGTATGAGTACTACATTAAGTTCAAGGGCTGAACAATATTTCTACAGTATAAATCCATTGGCACAAAGGATAGGAGAAGATATAACTGCAACTAAGGAAGCTTATGAGGGTTTATGGAATACATTAAGCATAGCTGAACGGAATCAAGCAATTAATGAAACTATTATTCAGCCGGAAGTTGCACTAAAGTATACATTGAAGAAACCGGAGCTTATTAAAGAATTACCAGAGTGGTACCCAAAATTACGTATCCAAACAGGAATGAAATATGTTATTGACGAAACTGGTTCTGTAAGTATTATTATATTTGTAGTTAACATCAGATCATAAACCATATCATTTATTCTTTGTCTCAACATACAAATGTCAATTAATATTTAGCTGTTATAAATAAATATATAATACTTTGAATCTTGAGTACCTTACTACTTATGGTTTATATGTGTTTGGGTTCAAAGTATTAGTTCAAAATTTGTTAGATAAAGCAAATTTTTTTACTATGACATTATAGACATTACGATGGCGCGATGAGCATTCAGCTCCATTTTCATTCATGACTCAATCACAAATGAATCTTAGTATAATAGATTCAACAGATGATGCAAAGTCAAAATTAATAAGAGCACAATTTGGGGAATCACCACATTTCTCCACTCCTGCAAAATCACAGAGAAATAATACAAATTCTCTTAATGATCCATATACTTCATCTCATGCAGTTAATCGCTTTCAATCTGATTGCTTTTCAAGTAATATTTTTGAAGATGAACAGTGTAATAGTTTATTGAAAGGCAATGTTGATAATGATCATTCTGAAAGTATATTTGCTAAACTGATGAATAAAACATCTTTGTTAAAATTACAAAACAATTTGGCAGATGATATGGAAAGTTTAGTCAGAGAAAGAGATTCAGATACTGATAAAAGTCAAACAAATACATTAGTAGTATTGTCACGTACAAAATCAAGTGACATTAATGAATCAACAGCATTGTTAGAGACTCCTAGTTCTTACAGTAGTTTTCAATCTTCTCAATTAAATCAAGAGGAAGAAGAAAGAACTATACCAAAAACTGGTTTTGAATTTCTTGATAATTGGTAGATATATTAAGATAATTGTTTCATACAATTATATTTACATTAAATTTGGTACTATTAGTTATTAATATAAGGTTATGCTAAATCGTGTTTGTACAATCTTAGTTCCTAAAACGGCGATGTTATGTTGGTATTGATTATGAATATTACTTTAAATATTTATTTTTTAAGGTATATATTTTAGTATTTTTTTAATGACAGTTATGATCTCAAATTACGATGTAGTTGCGAAATAATTTTGCTATACAAAGTGTATTAGTTACACAAAGAAAAGCTTAGCCAGGAGTAACCTGTATGCATATCCAGTACAGTAAAGATTTTATATAATATATGTAAATTTTTGATTACTATAATGCAGAGATGTTTTCATGTGTAAGTATTATGTATAGGAGTTTCAACGTATATACAATGAGATACGAAAAAAATATAATTGAAAACGTTTAGAAAAATACTTTATAAATCTTTTGATAGTTATTTTATACTTGTATTTTGATTTAGAGACATTTTTACGATTTAATATAGTGATGTACCTTTCTAACATAATCGTCAACCTTCATTATATGATCATAAAAGATTATCAAATATGTAAAGAATATTTAATGGAAGACTGAAGAGGCTATTTCATGTAATTCTCTTTTTATGTTCATATTTGGTAAGATTTATCATTAACTTATTTCATTGATCGAATAATATATTTTATATTTACTATTTTGATACATTGATTAAGGATGTAGTCTTTATAAAATAATAACAATAGTTTAGAATAATTACTATTATGTACTTGCTCTCAGTTCTTTCTTAATTTTCATGAAAGACGAATCAACGAACAAACACGTGTATGTTTTGCGTAAGACGGTTTGTGTTTGTGTGTTTATGTAGAGTACATTATACAGTATTTTAGAAGCGTTTATTATGATATTTAAATACATTAATTCACACAATATAGATGTGTTTTTCAATGGATCTAGTCCGTTAAGGTTTATTCCTTTCTCGATGGTCTTCCTAAAGTTCCAGTCTTTATGTGGTCCAAAAGCCTGAGAGCCAAACTAGTAGAAAAAAATATGAAAAAATTATTATACATTTTTTTCTGCTTAAAATTTTCAAATGTACTATACCTTCTGTTCTAGGAGATTGAATGATAGTTATGTTTTCGTCTCCACCACCAATTTGTGCAACTTTTGAATTATTGTAATAACCAAAGATATTTTTATTCGCTTGTGCGATACAATAAAACTCTTCTAGGTCGGTCGATCTTGTTAACCTGGCTTCTGATTCTTTCTCGAAGGGTGACACCAGTATCAGATGCCTTTTCGACGATGCTCGGACTGAAACTGAAAGAATTCTTTTATTATATTTATTACGAAAATGAAAACAATATTAAAAGGATCATTTTTAATGCCCTATTTTAAATTATATGAAATTAGAATATTTACCACTTTTGTCGATTTTATCACCTGATGCACCCTTAGCTGTGTTTTTCGATTCACGAGATAGTTCCTCAGATAACGTGGTCAAAGTTTTTGAGAGAATACTTGATCGACTATTTTTATCGGGTAAGGATTGACCAAGGATACACGATTTTTTTTTAATCTCAGTTTGTATAGAATTACCTTGTCTTTGTAGAAAAGAATCTAGAAGTTATTGACTAATCATTATGAGATTATGAATTTATTGCTGTATATTTTTTAATCATTTTGACTATATAGAAATAACTTTGCAGGTAATTAACAAGAAAAATCATTAAACCTTCTTCCTTTTCGGCCGTATTCGTGGGACTACATCTTCCAAAACCGGAGCAGTTTTGTCCGCCAATACAATTTTCTTCTACCAAATTTTTTTTAGTATCCTTGCAGATTTTTTTATCGTCCATCAGTACACGCGAAACCGTGCCATCTTCTTGCACATTCCCGCCACAATACTTATATTGTTCCATTGCCTGCTGCTCAAGCTCCTACAATGAAATCGATTCTCGATACTTTTATATCGATTTTGTTAGCAGGTATTAATTTCGATTTTGACTTTAATCGTATTAGCGGTATCGGAAGTTGGAAGCTGTTCATCTCGATATGTACGAATAATTTTAACCGGTTTATTAAATTAAGTTCAACGATTCAAGGTAAGTAATTATAGGAATAAAATATTATACTTGGTATTTAAGTGCCAAGGATTCCTCTGAAGTTCTGTACTGTTCCATTGCTTGCTGCTCTAATTCGTCGTATCTGATATCAAATATATTACATATACTTGTCATTATTATTAATTATTACTAAGGAAATTACGTAACGAAAAAATATTATATGCAATTTTTGCCAATATTATTTTGTCATAGAATTTATTTTATAAAGGATATAACGAATAGTAACTGGTAGTACCTTTTTTCAAACACATTTTCCAAAGTAACTTGATTCGCTGAGGCATTGGTTAGAACGTCTCTATAAAGTCTTCTTCTATTTCGAGTATCATTCTTATCCCTTTCGCCGATTCTTTTAGCATTCATTCCTTGAACTTCTTGTTTTAAACGTTCGCTGCTTCTTGCGCTGTCCTTTTCCCTCTTGGAACTGCATGCCTTTCTATCACTTTTCACCTCGAAGTTTCTTAATTCTGCCACCAGGGGGTTAGTAGTGGTAAATTCTTTCACTTTCGACGAACAACCTTTGTCCAACCATTGAATGACTTCCGATTCGGACTTTGAACCTCGATTTTTCCCTTCGATCAGATAAGAAGGCTTATGTTGCGAGCTCTTCGGTGGACCGCGATGAGCCTTCATCGCGTTTTTTGTCAATAGTATTAAATTTTTAAAATCGACTCCATGGTTTTTACGCTTTTGTCCCGTTTCGTGATATAGTTCTATAGGGTGCTGATAAACCGGAATCGGTATAGGATTCGACTGTAAAAACTTCTCTTGTACCTACAATATTTCTTCGATTGATCATAACCTATATTTCGATAAAATATTTGTTTCGATTCCAAATGATCGTTGTATTTTTACCTGCAGGGGATGATGGGTAATAGTAGTAGCCCGCAATGGTTGCATGGAAGTGCATATCGGCGTTGAAGAAGAACTGGATATTTGTATTTGCGTTGGTGGCGAAATCCTTTGGTACCATTGATGCGGTGGTCTAATGAACGTCGTCGCATCGGTGGCTGACAGCAGAGGTATACCCGTACTCTAGAATTTACAAGTCCTATTTTATTTTTTATTTTTAATATTCTTTTTGCCTGCATCCATCAGGTTGAACGTCTTTTGTGGAATATACGGAACAATTTTCGACCGGAGATAGAACAAGGCTCGTCGAATAAGGCAAATTAATATTTTAAACCTGGTATATAGGTCCAGTATTTTCGTAAGTTCTGTTGTAAGGAAACAATTCGTTCTGGTAACTCCGCTCGTTAAGCGACGGAAAATATTGTACACGATTAACGTTCTGTTCCTTGTTACTGTTGAATCGGGGTACCGGTACTTTTGGGAAAAATTCCGGCACTTCCGGGCTGAGAACAGGCGGTAAATGCTTTCTCATTCCATAAGAATCCGTTCTTGCTGATTGGCACTCTGCCCTGAGTATCAGCGGACGATACTGAACAGTGTAATAGAATTGTTGCTGGCGTTCCATGCTCTGACAACTCTGCTCCCGCGGTTGTTGTAACTTGTAGCACTGCAAACGCATTTTCTGCTGGAGGTATTGCTGCTGAGCGTTGCTACCCACTTTCCATAAATTTCGAACTGCGTTGCTACTTATACGAATGTGCAGCTGCATCTCCATAGAGTTTTCGATGGTGTAACGTTGACACTCGTAATAATTATCCAATTTTTCGGTAGAATCTGACTCTTGACAGACATCGTTTTTTAATTAGCAAAAATCGAATAGAATTTCTAGTTAATTTCTAGATTATAGCTAGTTTGTTTTTTTCTTATCTTTTTTTTTGTGGATTCAAATTTAGAAGAAAGCAGTGGTACGTTAGTTGATCGCAAGCGTATTACCGATCAGGTTCTCTTTGCTCGATTCACGATTTGTCCTGATCTTCTTCTCTGTCGGGCTCAACCTCTGCACGTGTTGACTGTGCAAGTCTTCCCAATGCAAATTGAAGCCACGTCCGATCTTAGATGCATCGTCAGCCTCCGGTAATCTTGTTGCCGAGCTTTTGCAACATCAATTTCCCACGCGAACGTTACCACAGAACGTTTGAACATTGGGTTATATTTTCATAACGTTTAAGGATAAAAGCTAACAATTCACGATTCACAATTCGTGGTCCATTCGAAGTTAACCAGGCGAAGTGCTTCTCGACCTCCGGTAGCATCCATGGTTCGATAACTTCGGTCCAACAGAAATTTGATAGAGAAACTGGAGGCGAATTGTCGTCCGATTTATACACGTTCTCGCGTTCTTTCTGGTATTCATAGTTGCCATAGCTGGCCAAACGGGAATTTGGAATAACGTCGCGAACACGTTTTGTTCGGTAGGTACCATTTTCTTTGTACTTCGCAGTCAATTTATAATTCTATTGTGAAACAAATCGTAAAATTTTGTATTTTTATTTATTTATTTATTTAGTTTGGTATATTCTTGGCATGTTCTAGCGTATGGAATAATGAAAGATGGATGATTCAGGGAGCTCGCGAACATTTTACCTGAATCGTTAAAGATTGATTCAATTTTTGGAAGGGATCTTCCTTCTCGAAGGTCCAAGCTTTGTCAGCGATTAGACTAATGTTCGCATAGGCGCTGTTCAAAAGCTCTTCGTCGTATGACGGGAATGAAGATATCATTATCTGAACATTCTAACCGGTCGAGTATAGTTTAGTAACCAATTAAATGATGTATCGATAATTCTGCTATTACGTCTATTATCTCTCGTTCGCATCGGTGCATTCGCAAATAGTCATTTAACCGTTCTGTCTTCGAGACGAATATCGAAACGATGAAAGACTCGAAATATGTTCAGGACAAAGTCTAAACGTCTCTCGAATATCTTCACGTTTATCGAAAAAATACCAACGGGAATATTTAGATAACGTACCCGAAAATCACGACGAGAAAATCAACGGGATAGGAAATAATAAAAATAGGTCGATTATTTCTTTCATTTTTTTTTTTTTTTTACAAATGTCTTTTTTATTACAAATACGATCGATGATAAGGTAGTACACGCATTTCATTCACACATTTTGTACAGATCAGGCATACGATATATACAACCGACAATTCGCGTAATTTACAAAATTTTGACGATCGATGGTATCTCACGATAGTCTATGATAACGTTTCGAAACTTCGTGAAGAAAAGAAAAATCAGTCTGGCAGTTACACTTTGTCCAACGTTCTCGATGAAATCCTGTAAAACACGTAAAACACGGCCATTTTACGGGACCTTACGAGAACGTTGACCGAGTGGTTGTAGTCGTGACACGACTACCATAAGGAACGCAAAAAGCGTAAAAAAAGAAATCGATGCCTTCCCTTTACGTCGTTTTATATCGTTTAATTCACGATTTGCTCAATCGTTCGATATTGTGCGACTGTATCGAGATTATCTGGCACAGAGCGTCAATATACTTTATATACAGGAAACTTAATACTTAATAGTTATTTATAGTGGCGATACAGTCGCACAATAGTTTCTCATCGGCGACGAGTTCTCGATAGAACTCGTGGCTAATTGCGAAAAATGTATCGCGATTGCGACCCCCGATGTACGCTACAAGTTCGCTGAGACTCGATGAAATGTACCTTCACTGTTGCCTCGTATCTGTAGCGGTAGTTAGAGAATCTCGTCGCATTTGGAAAAATCCCGGATTATTTACAAATTCACAATTCTATCCCGGCACGATACGCAGATCCGTGACGATCCTCGAACCTTGCGACGTCACTCGAATTCTTGTTACCATTCTTCAAAAACGGTATTCGAACATCCTTCCGTTATTATGGCAAGACAATGGTTTACTCGGTACAGCACCGATTCATCGAACGGGGCCGTGAAGACGCAACGAAATTTGCTTATGTACCTAAAAACGTCCGTTTCGTCGTTCTATTCGTCGTGCTTTACGTTTTTATGGCTTACGTAATTGGCAATTTAAAGCGTATTCCATTCGCGGTGGTATTTTGGTTATTCATGCACACTTTTATCGAGTACCTTCGCAAGATAAAAAATAGAAAAAAAAATATATATAGGCACCATTGTGTCGCAGCTCTTTTCAAGAAGTAGCTAAATGTCCTACTAATTGTCTGACGTTGAAGCGCTTTTCAGACGTACTCCTCTGATGGCTTAGGTATACTAGCTGGTAATCTAAGCGTACTTGGAACACGATTGGCACTGTCGGGTAGTTCCGCGATGTCGATAAACACCCCGACCAAACTGTCGAAGTTCAGTCCCCAATTCAACAGATAGTCCCAACTCAACGCGGTCGTAGTCGTGGATGGCGATCCGCTGTTGTTCGGTCTGTACAGTCCTCCCATGTGCGTCGATAGGTCGTCGTCGGAGGCTACCAGAGTACTGAGAGATCCACGGAAGGAACTGTCGAAACCGTCGTAATTGACATTGGGGGGCAAGGGTGGCTTGGTCGTCTGAGAGGACTCGTTGCTCCGTTGATTTACTTCTTCGTCATCTTGCTTCGCGAATGGGTTGTCCGATCGTTTGTCACCGACTAACGAGGTGTTGTCGTATTCTGAGCACGTGAAACTGTCGTTGCCGCTTTCGTCGGTCGTTGACGAGTTCCTTCGTTCCAGTCTTTCGACTGGTGGAGTGTGTCGACGGTGAAGATGCAGAGGACCATGCGTGGGTGGTCCTCTCGCTTCACTGGAGGAACTTACGGCATCTAAAGTGGAGACGAGGCTAGAGGTTCTTGGCCTCGAGTTCAGTCTCTCGATCTCTTCCGCGGTTAAGCCCATGGGACCCGAAGATACGTTGTTCACAGAATTTTCGTTGTTCGACTGAGGTGCCTTGCGACTGGCCGTTGAACCAGACAGTTGACTCATGATCGGGGAATTTAGACTTCTTTCGCTGTTAGAATTCAAAGCGTCCTTTCCTACTCCACCGGAGGAAGACGTAGTCGCCAGAAGAGCACTTTGCAGAGGTTTGCCACTTATGTCGTGTAACGTTAGTATTCTTGGTTGCTGAGCGGATAGCTCGCTGCTAGGCGACAGCCTAGCCAATGGAGTGCTTTGTAACAGTTTTTGGGTTGGTCCCGAAGGCTGACTCACGTTGGGAGGTGGTAAGGCCCTAGGCGGGAACGGACCGGTGTGTCTGTGTTGCTGTCCCGTATGCTTATGATGGTTGGTGTAATTATTAATAGGAGGAGGAGTGGCTTTATACTTCCGCATGCCATCCCGATAGCCTTTGTAATGGTACACGATATCGATATCGCTCGGCGCTATAGAACTCGCGTTTTCCAAGTCATAATGCTCAGGCATGTCGGGTTCTGGATTATGTTCATGGGAGTGTAGAGAAGTTTGAGCAGGCGGTGGGAGAGGCGGGTGTTCGTCTCGTATGGGTGGCGACTTTGTTACTTCTCTCTCGATAATGTCCGGTCTCTGCGGTCGATGCTCGGTGGTCGCGTTGATTTCGCGTTCTTTGTACCTCTTCGAGATCAATTCTGGCCCCATATGACCCACGCCTCGTAGATCGGACGTGTCAGAGATGTAGGTATTCTCGTGGCGAGACATTAAATTATCGTTACCCGTTCCGACCAATGGATTTCCAGTCATTATAGCGTTCGTGTTCTTATTTACCACCGATGGAGCAGATTTTTCTTTGTTTTGTCGTCTCAGACGGAAAACGATGAAGCTGACCAAGATGGCGATTAGCAGGATGACGAAGAAGACTATGACCAGGGTGATTCCTATGCTCAGAGGATCGGCTGTGGCTGCAGCGCTGATCCCAATTGGTCCTCTGCATCCGGTGCTCACCTTTGCGTGGTACAGTACCTCCTTGAAGATCGAGCCAGATCCATTGAACGGCTGGATCTCGTTGTTGATGGTGAAGTTGGCCAAACAACCCTCGAAACTTTTTGCGCCAGCGCTATGAGCGTAATACAGGTCTTGGCTAACTCCACCGATCGACAGGACAGATAGGTACGGGTCCAGGAAATCGTGGACACCGGCAGGGTCTAGTTCTTCGCCCATTTGAACACCGTCGACGAATAATCTCAAGCCACGGAAGTAGGAATGTAGAGTCAGGTTATGCCAGTGACCGTCTGCCAGACTTCCTTCGATATTCGCTGTCATGTTCACCGGCGACCCAAGAAGAGACGCGTAAAACAGTTGACCATTGCGAAGCTGAAACATAAGACATTTATGTTACAAATCTTAAGGAACAAAATTATATGATTGCTTTTTCATTTCAGGTATCGCAGAATGCTCCTTACCTCCACCGATGTGAAGTGTTTATTAGTTGCAGCATAGATGAGGATACCATCAGATTTAACTGTTCTGAACATTAAGCAGATGGTTTTAAACGGTGACGGCTGAGTCATAAGACTGGTATCTTCACTGATAGTCCGTTTCGCTCTAATCTTATGCCACATAGTCGAACCTCCATAAAGATATTCTAATAATTGCATTCTTCTGTGTTTCTCCGAAATCTGCAGGACAAAGGGATTATTTTCGTTGATCCCGGGTGAGAAGCAAATGGGAAGTTAAGAATTAAAGTATTAAAGATTTTCACGTACTTTGAATTCGATGTATCCACCCTCGCTCAAAGTAATCGGTTCAAGTGCCCCTTCGCAATTAGGAGCTGTCAACGAGCCGCATTGGCAAGTCACTTGATGCCACTTGTCGTAACATTTAGCGTTTAACCCACAAACGGAGGTGGACTCCTTTCCACCTCTCAGACAAGGATTGTTTTTCGATCTGATACACGTGGATTTAACCCCACGCGATGCCAGAGGATTCGACAGGTTCAGAGCTCTGCCGTTGATGGAAACCGAGTGAACGCATCCGACGAAATCATCGGAGTGTACCTGTCCTGGTCTCTCGAGTACTGGATCTGCGTTTTCGAGTCCTCCCACCAGAAGTGGATTATTGTTAAAGTTCAGAGTTCTACGGAAAGCAATTATTCATTTTAGGTACACGAGTGTATTTTAAAAAGTTAATATTAAGATGATACTAAGAATGATACTAACCCAGTTGGTCCTACGTCGTCCGCGTAGCATGTGCCATCACCAGGTCTACAATCGTCGCAAATATCTCCGTGCTCTCTACACATGGACACGCTCAAGGACACAACCCTTCCATTCCTGGTGGCTGTCACTTTCCTCCATTCTCCATCCGATACAGAGTTCTCTGTTTTTATGGTAATCGAGGTAATGGCACTTCTTGCACCTCCGTACGAAAATACCACTCTTCCATCCACCAATTCTAGAACTACAAAGTCTGAACGTCCTCCGGCTTGAGGTGCGTAATTGTACAGTAATAACGCGTCTGGTTTCGTCGTTGCAAATACAATGGTTATGTCGTTTGTGTTTGAATCCAAGGCTGGGAAGGCCATGTAAGACAGTTCTTCGAATCCAAACGTGGATCGTTCGCAGTGTCTTCCATAGCGACCCTCAGGACAACTGCATCTGTACCTGGATTATTGGATCATTGTTGGATTAATCATCGACGAATTTTTGGTATTTTTGGTTTATTAGGTTCAATTTAATATGTAATCCACGAAAAAACTTACCCAGGTTTTTCTCCCACACACAAACCTCCGTACAGACAAGGATTCGGCCTACAAGAGTCTGTGACTGCCTCGCAATGGTTCCCTCTGTAGCCAGCTCGACACAGACAG